GGGGGGGCAGTTTTTGGAGCCGGCCATGAGCGCACCTCCTGCCCAGGGCGCGACCACCGCAGCGGGGATCACCGGGGATGCGGGCGCGCCGCCCCCCACCGCCACCAGGACCTACCTGGAGGTGTCGGGCTACGGGGCTGAGGGGGTGCACACCAACGGACGGCACAGGGAGCTCGGCAGTCCACGGATCGGGAGTGGCAGTCGTGATAATTCCGCGGAGAGGAGTCCGGGGGCTGCGAGCGCTCCTTGTGGCATCATGAAGGTTGGTGACTGATCCTGGTTTGTCAGAAGCTGCTCTCATGTCGTCACGAGCACACGCATGGACAACCTTTAAACCTTTCCACGTGTAGCTCGTGTCCTGTGTGGTCCAGATTCTGGGGGGACGTTTGAGTTCAGCAACTCTCAGGAAGTTGAGCTGACGAGAACCTCTGGATGATTAACTAATAAATGCAAACTACAGCCAGAACTTTTCAAATTCACCCTTGGGTGTTGCTGCGTGGTGCCCTGTGAGTGTCATCAGACACACCGACACTACTGGATTAATCCATCCCAGAGCTGGTCAAGTTTGGCCTGAGCCAACTGGGTTGAGCAAACCCGAGTTAATCTGAAGGTCGAGTCGGGTCCTCTGGGTGGAGTCTTTGTTGAAACGTTGCGTCTTTTATCCAGAAGATTCTGCAACAAACTCGTTCCGATGCAACGTTTCAACAAAGAAGAATCCGTCCTGCACCTGACTCATTGTTAGATTAATCTGGATTATATCAGGGCGGCTGTGGCTGAGTGGTTAGACCAGTCGTCCTCAAATGGGAGAGTTGGGGGTTCTATTCCACCAGCAGTCACATGACAGTGTCCCTGGGCAAGACACTGAACCCCTCATTGCCTCCGTGTGTCCCATCGATGTACAAATGTGACAAAACTCTGATTAATCTCTACAGATTAAGATTATCTTTACAGAGTTGCAGTGCTGTATGAATGTGCTCAGAGCATCTTGATAAGATAGAAAAGTGTTAATAAGTGCAGTCTGTTTACTACTGAGCATGCATCAGGGCATTCCGAGTTAGGTTTACCCCCCCCCCCCCCCCCAAAAAGGAACAAAATCACTAATTTGTTGAATTTAGATCTACTAAAAACAAAAAATTGGTTAATAGAAAATTAGAACTGTAGCTGACACTGTTGGCACCAACTGAAGTTCCTTTAACCGTCCAGGTGACCCGACTGAAAAATGTTGGATTATATACCTGGATTATTGAGCATGGACTTTGCTGATCTCACAGATTCTTGTTTTTGTTGCGTCGTTTCGTTGCTCCATCTTAAAGCGGAGCTCCAGTTCTGTCCTGACACGACTCCAACACCAGGTCCAACTTTATGACTCATTATTTGGTCAAAGCAGCAACAGTTTGAACTTACCGAGTTTTCAAATCCTCGCCTTCTGGTGTGCGTGTTTCAAGAAGCAAAAGTACAACATCTATTAAACATATTTCTGTTTCATGAAAAGCCAAAGGTTTTTGCCCAATACCGCAACTCCAAATTAGTAAAATAAGAATCTGATGGGAAACTGTGGACAAGAGTACTCACCGTTTTTAATAATTAGTAATGATGTAGAAGCTGGTTTTGGTTGGTTCTCTGATGGTCCTGCTGGGACCAGTGGGTCGTTCCTCCTTTTAGCTCTGTCAGTAATGGATGGTATGATTATAAAATTTTTAATGACAGCCCAGCTCTAATTAGTGCTTTCATTACTGGAGGTTAATTAACTGATCTTCTGCAAACCAGAATAGGGAAGACTGTAAGATTTATTCCCGTTTTTTATTTTTTAACCACATTAGCTCGTATTGTGGAGCAACGTATGGAACCGTCTGGAGAGTTAAATCCTGTTGTATCAGACACGAAAAGAACTGCACCAAATACTTTTTATTTGCACTTCATCTTGGTCTACATGGATAAGCACTGCTTCGCAAATGTGCATGTATCTGCCTTGAGATGTGCAGGATGACGTCATTAAAGGACCGATTTTAATGTTGTCAAACCGTAGAATACAAATAAAGCCTGAGTTTATAAGAATGCTTCACTAAAATATCAGTTCCTGCACAAAACATGATTATTAAACAACTTGTTTTTTTATCTCCAACTTTTTGAACGATCTGTTTTTATAATGCACAAAACATGACGGAGTGCTCGATATGATTAAGAAGGTTTTGTCGATTTTAAATGATGAGCGTGAAGGAGTTCAAGTATTAAAAGTATTGGAGGATCCAGAATGACCTGAAATGTTCGTACACGGCTCATTTCACCCTTTAGCTGATAAAACGTTGAAAGGCGTCGACTGACCTCACTCCTCCTTCATGTCAGGATTTCAGAAAACAAAAATGTGAACATTTTATTGGAAGTTAAACCAAACACATTTCTTTTATTATACTTATTTGGTTTAAGACAAAAAAAAAAACTAAAATAAAAAGATTTAAAGACACAGATATGTCACAGGTTTTAATAATTGTTGCATCATACCATGGTACAATAAATAATAAGCATGTGCGATAACGGTAATCCTAGAGTAAGTAAAATAAATCAGAAATTAAATGTACCAAAATAATTCCACAAATATAAATGATATAAACTGTTTATTTTATAGACAAAGTGTTCTTGTTGTTGGGGACTGAAGCCATGGACTCGGGTGCAGGAGCTGCTCTTTTTTGTAACCAGAGTCTGTGCACTGATGATGTGCAGCTTTAGGCCACGCCCACCACCCCTGCATGCAATCATGACATTTGTTGAAGCTCAAAGTAAGATGTTTAAGCTAAACGTATTAAACGAATGAACTTTGGAGCATGTAGTAAGACATGAGCTACGTGACGTAACAAGAGTCAACACCTGAAACTAATTCTTTGAGAGTATTTTCTTATTTTACCGAGGGCGATATTCCATTCTTTTATGTGGAGGGGGCGGGACTTAAGCCTGTTCTGGAATCAGCCTGCAGCGATGCCGGTCCGGTTCTGATTTATGGTCTCTATATAGTCTTTTATACATTAGCAATTAATATTAACACCGAATCATAAAGCCCAAACTTTATAAAATGACTTTTGCAAAATCAACATAAAAAATATTTTCATTGTTTGTTTTTTTTTTAGCTGTAGGCCTAAATAAAAAAAAAAAAAATCATATATGACTAAAGAAATATTAGCTATAATACAAGCATAATGATAGTACACTGAATATTAACTTTGGGGAATAAAAAATTGCAGTTATTATGATAAAATAAAATTCTAATAAACATATTGCCAAAAATGCAGTGTGAATGCTAATTGCTAAAGAACTTGCTAAAACATCCTGAAATGTAGCTGAAATGGAAGAACAAGTCTAAGTTAGCAGAAGAAAGCAGAAAGAACACATATTTACAAAAATAGCAGACATGAGCACAAAAGATTATGAAATAAGCTAAAAAAAAACCCCCAGAAATAGGCAAATAAAAATAGCTGAAAAGGCAAGAGAAGGAAGTGGAAGGAGCTGAAAAAATGTGGAATTGGCTAAAAAAAGCTAAATTTAGTACCAAAACAGCTGAATAGTATCTGAAATAGCAGAAAAGCCAAAACTAGCAGAACTAATCTGAAAGGAGCATAATGAGCTGAAATTTACAGAAATAATTTAATTAGGCTGAAAGTAGCAGAAATTGACACAAAAACTTGAATTTACCTGAAAACATCTGAAATTAATTTAAAAAAAGGCTAAAAAGTTAGCTGAAAAGGCAGAACAAGCTTAAATTAGCAGAAGAAAGCAAAGAACGTTTACTGAAAGTGGCAGAAATTAGCACAAAAAAGCTGAAATTAACCAAAAAAAGAAAACGGTTGACATGTAGCTGAAAAAGCAGAAAGAAGCTTAAACTACAGATGGAAGTTATTTTGGAAGTTTATTTTATGTGTTTTTATTGAATTGTGTGATTTTTATTAATAGGTGTTTTATATTTTTGTATTTTATTTTGGGGTTCACATGGTTTTATGGGTTGTAGTGTATTTAATTGTGGAAGAAACTTTGTTAGCGCATGATGTCCAAGACAAATTTCCCCTCGGGGACAATGAAGTATTCATCTCTAAATGGAGAGCATATTTTTGCTGAATTGGGCTGAGCAAAGTTGAAATGATTGCAAAACATGTGGAAATAGCTGAAAAGCTAAAATTAGCATAAAACAGCTAAATAGTAGCTGAAATGGCAGAAATTTGCAGAAATAAGTTGAAAGGATCATAATGAGCTGAGCAGAAAGAAGTTAGAAGCACAAAAATGTTGTAGTTGACAGAGAGGATCATGAAACAGCTGAAAAAACAGCTGAATTAGCTGAAAGAAGCTGAAGCAGAACAAAATGTGAAAGGAGCAGTAAAAGGTTGTAAACCGATCTAAAGATTTGAAGGATGGAAAATGAGCTCAATTCATTTTATATGAGAAAAAAAATGGCCGAAAATATTTCAAAAAGCTAAAGTTGCACCAGTACCATTTATTGCAGGATTGTCGTGAACGAGCTGAACATTTTTGATTTATGATTTGTTGAAATAGCACAAAAACTGTGGAACGAGAAAGATGCTGAAAAATGTACAGAAGAAAAATGGATCACAAGAGTGTGAACGCTCCAACGTTCACACAAATAGGCAGTAAAGTGCAGTGAAGGCAGCATCAGCAGACGGTGGATTGGAATATATGACCGTTGATTAATAATAATAATAATAATAATAATAATAATAATAATAATTAAGGGTGCACCGATTGCAGTTTTCTGGCTGATCACCAATCTTGAAAAAGTCTGACCTGCTGATACCGATTTAGTTTTATAAGAGACACCGTCAGGTGTTGTAAGGTCACAACGCACCTTCAATTTTCCAGTATTTTATTGAAACGCATCCCCTTGAACAATATCCTAGAAACGATACAAACTTGTTTTAACTGGCCGTGAGGTAGTGCTCTGAAATATAAATGAAGTTCAGACAATTGTTGTTAAAACAAAAATAATCTGTAAAATCTGTTTCTCATGTGCGTATCGGCCGATCTCCCCAAATTATGGAAATAGGGGATTTATCGTGCACTCCTGATAATGTGTTGTCATGGGAACATACAATGGTGAAATTGTCTCTGCGTTTGGCCCATCCACCCCCAGGTGGGGCGGTGGGCGGCTGTTGGGAGTGGCCGGGGGGCAACTAGGGATGGGGTGTCCTGCTCAGATTCACCACGAGATGTGCAATGATGGAATCGAACCTGGAACTTTTGGGTCCCGAGTCGGCTGGCCTGCCT